TTAATGTCATGTCTAATGTCACGAGCACAGACTCAACACAACAGAAATTGCATCAGTACCCTGATACTCTCCTGACTGCTCCGGATGTGACAGGTCTGTTCTGCGACAGAGTGAGAAATACTGTAGGTATTCACAGCGGACTAGATAAAGATGTATGGGAGGGGACTGAGGATGAGGCTGCAGTGGCTAGTATCAAGTTGCAAGAATTACTCCTTGCTCTGTTGATGTGGCTCTCATCCGCTGAGCCGCTACCGCTTTCACATGGAAGCTACTGCATGTCCTCGTGTGCTCGGCGAGTCCAAATTGCTTCCTAGAGGGAGGAAGATGAAAAAGCAGCTCTCTGTTTTATATCTATATAAGTACAGGCAGAGACAGACAGAGCCGACTCTTCTGCGGTTCGAGTGTACAGCGAGGAGATGGATTTAGCAGCCATGAAATGCCATTCAGTCCATACGGGGGCTTTGCTTCATACGGGGCTGTGACGGAAACAACACCTCCAAGCTCCCTCTCTTTCTACGGCCCTGTTGTTAAAGAGGAGGCTCTCCGCAGAGGCCGACCCTCTGTTGTTGCTGTGTAAATGCCATAATTGCAGCAGGAGGGAATGTAATGAACTGTGTTTTCTGAACTCCTCCCTCCTCTATGTTCTCTGCTTTTCTCTTTTTCCTTCCCTTTCCCTCTTTATTTTTACTCCCTTACATCTCTGTCTCTCTCCATTCTCCTCCCTAATCTGTCTTCTGTGCACTTCCTTCCTCACTCTCTCTCCCGCCACCCTCTTCTCCCACTCACCATCTTAATTTTCTATCCCAACATCATGGCAGAGACAGACATATCCGGGTGGGGACCTGTTGTGTGCACCGGCGGCACTGTGTAATTAAGCCGCTTTTAAAGCCCAGGCATAAATAAAAACTAAAAAGGAGCCTCCAGTGCCCTTCACCCCAGCGCCTTCAAGAAAAGCCAATAATATGCTAAGCTAATGAGAGGCGAACCATTGATTCCAGCTATGCTATCAGGGGCGCGAGCCTGGATATGCTCTGATGCAGGCTGGAGTTTTAGCATTGTAATGAGGTTGAAATGAAACACTATGTCCTCCAGCACTACAGTCATGTGGGATGATGCAGCGAGTGCTTTGTGCTGTTTGGCAGCGCGCTCGTTGGGACAATGTGTGCAGAGAAGTCAGTATTGTGTGATACGGTTAGAATTGTTTTTGTTTTGGCTAGGGGCTGTTTTTGGGGGAGGTTAGAGGGGTCCACCCTATCAATTTGAAATTAAGTATTCATCCCCTGCTTAGCATTGCTCTCCTTCTCTTCTCTGCCTGACTCCTCTGTTATTTAATTCCCCTCTTCTACATCCTCACCCCCTTCCTTTTCCTCTTTTTTCCATCCTTTCTCGGCTTCTCTCCTCTTTTTTTCCCTCTCCTCTTCCTCCTCAGCAGTCAGCCCTGCTTTGCAACTCCGATGACCAGCTGAGAGAGCAGTGCTCACTCTTTTCATCTCCTCACATTTTCCTCCTTACATCTTCTCTTTGTACTTAGCACATCTTCACTCTTTGCATTGCTCCCCCCCCCACTCGTTTTCATCTTTTTAATTTGATTCCTCTCTCTGTTGCCTTCCTCTCTTCCTATACCATCTCTTCTCCTCTCCACCAATCTGTTGTTTCTTTATTTGTGCGAGCGAGGCCCTGAGCATATTCTAATCTCCCGGTTCCACATTAGTGCTTTGCCTGCAGCACCTTCATTAGTTGTTCAGCCGTGGCTCAGTGTGTGACTGAGTGTGTGCGTTTGTAGTAGCGTGTCTGAATATACATGGCGAAACGGCTGCCTGCGTTAAATGCGTTCACCTGGATGCAGCTTACATGTGCTACAAACATGTGAGTGTGTGCATGCACGACCATGCATGCATTCATGTGGGATTACTCAGCTCCCTCTCTCGTTGTTGATCGGTGCGCTGCTGCCACCTGCTGTTTGACAAAAGAACTGCTCTGCTGGACCAAAGTCACGTAGGACACAAGCACAGCTCGGGCACCTCGACGGATGAGCTCATCTCTAGTTTTGTGAGCATATCAAGGGCTCGCTCTCTCATTCTGGGTTGTGTTACAGAGAGGAAGGAGGAAGAAGGAGAGGATCTATACGGGCTTAAATAGCTCGATGATGAGCATAGCTGCCAGGGATTATTTGCTATCTTCATTAAATGTGTAGGAATTTGTCATCCGCATTACGGCAGAGACGATTTGACAGACAGTACAAGGACAACAGAACATTTCTTTATCTTCGTTTTGCAGCTGAATGATTTTAACAATGTGCCTTTTATGGATTTTCAATCAGATTTTCCACAAAATCAGTCAGTCTGTTGAATGTGCCTCATATATAAATATCCCCCAGATGGTATATGTTGCTTTCATAGAACAAACGTAGAGTAAGAGAGAAAGCTCTGCAGCCTCTGGTTTTAATAGATCTGAGTTAGAATGTGTCTGATTGTTTAATAATCAGTTTACTTGCACGTCTTATATTCTCTGTATGTCTGTTATTACATTGTGGGGTTGTAGTGATCGTTAAATCCTTTGCTGTGCATTTCTTCGTGGTGTCTAATGTTTCAAATCTCTGCCTCCTCTGTGTGAATTTGCGTCCTCAGACAGCAGAAGGCTTACCTGGCCACCCAGGGCCCACTGGCCGAGACCACCGAGGACTTCTGGAGGATGCTGTGGGAGCACAACTCCACCATCGTCGTCATGCTCACCAAGCTACGAGAGATGGGGCGGGTACGTACACACACACACACACACACACACACACACACACACACTGACTGTGGTTAACATGTATAAGGCCACTGGATCATTTCAATAGAAGATAACAGTCTTTATGTGCTGAGTTGGTTCAGCTAAGTTACTGCATCACACCGCTCAAATTCATTCCAACAGTAACTTCAATTAAACAGTTGCTTCCTTATCAGCATGGAAGGAATGTATCTGGTCTGAAACATCCTCCTGTGTTAATAATATTTTGAATTCCAAGGATACAGATAATTTTCACTGAATTACCTTTTATTCAAAATTTGGTAACAATGGAGGAGGGATATACAACAGGCAGAAACTACTGGTGGGCCAGACGTGTACCCGGGATATTCTTCTGGTTTCCCTTTGATTCCACCTCTGCTGGATGTCGTACCCTCGCTCTGACTCTCCTGTGGCGTCTTGCCTGACTCTGCTCCGTCAACTGTCCAACAAAGGCTATGATACCAAAAGAAAACAAACAAAGAGGTGCTAGTCAACAGATGATTTTACCTTTGGGCTGTTTCACGAGTAAACAGCTGCTGGCTCCCAGCTTCATATTTTAGGAGCAGATATGAGAAGTGGTATCAATCATCTCAGAGAGAAAGCAAAAAAAAATCCATCCGCAGCCCTCGACTGCCTTCTACAGTTCTTATCACCCTCTCATCCATAATCAGAGTTTATGAAAAAACATCATCACTTAAGAACCAAAACATTTTCCCACTGAACATGAATCAGACAATATTTCACAGCCGCAGATGATTGGATGTGGATTTCCATTTTGTAAGCAGAGTCCTTCACATGACTAATAACATACGGTAACCTTCTCTAATAATACCCAGGCGGTCATTATGTAAAGGTCTTCAAATGGAAGCGCTCAATGTGTGGTTTTTTTTTTTTTCTCCTCCATTTCATTTGTAGGAGAAGTGTCATCAGTACTGGCCAGCAGAGCGTTCAGCCAGGTACCAGTACTTTGTGGTGGATCCAATGGCTGAGTACAACATGCCACAGTACATCCTCCGAGAGTTTAAAGTCACAGATGCCAGGGTATGTTGGATTCACGTGTGTGTGTGTGTGTGTGTGTGTGTGTGTGTGTGTGTGTGNTGTGTGTGTGTGTGTGTGTGTGTGTGTGTGTGTGTGTGGGAGGGGATAAGGATATATCTACATTTTCCCTCAAATACAGTCATCCAACCCAAATCCATCCTAATTTTTGTTTTCATTCAAATGCTGACAGTCGCTCTAAGTGTTCAGAATTACACCTGTGATTCCGAGGTGGAGATGATGTGAACGCATCACGTGTTATTCCTCCCGACAGGTTGACATTCAGTGAATGAGTCATCAAACATATTTATCCAGATTTAGTAAACAGTACGCTTGCTCCATGTGTGTGATTGTGGAGGTATGTGTAAGTGCATGTGTGTTTTTTGAGATCACTGTGAAAATACATGAAAAGCAAAGACTCCAATCCCCCGAGAGCCGCTGCCGAACCTCCCTGTGATGCAGTAGTTTCAATGAGCTATAAATACTCTGTACTGTGATCTCAAGGCTCCGAGCGCAGCAACACACTCAGCCCACTCCTTCTCCGACATTAACATATGTATACTGTAAGTACATATATTTCAAGAGACGCAGATTTGGAAATGAAGTCTCGATTTGTACCAAAAAAAAAAAAGCTTTTGAGTCACACAGGCTGAGACCTCGGTGCTGTCAGATGTGTGAAACGTGTACAGTGTCTCTCAGTTCTGGTCTTTGGACGCCACGGCCCCGCTGGTTTTCTCTCCTCCCTGCCTGTCAACTTCATTCATATCACATCCCAGGTGTAAATGAGGTGAATACATGTCTGCTGTTAAAAAACCAGCAGGGTTTCCACACTCATGGGACGAGCCGAGAGACTCAGCCGTGGTGTTTCGTTGTTTTTGTTGAGTGCACATACGAGCAAAGGCCGAAGAGGTGTGTGTGTGTGTGTGTGTGTTCGTGCTTTGAGATGAAAGAAGACATTAACGTGAGCAGAGCTGAGTTAAACACACAATTCCCATCAATCTACTTTTTCTCAGGACGTTTCACTGCTTTTCAAATGCACTTAAACTCCTCCTCTCCCTCAGGACGGCCAGTCCAGAACAATCCGCCAGTTCCAGTTCACTGACTGGCCCGAGCAAGGAGTGCCAAAAACCGGAGAGGGCTTCATCGATTTCATCGGACAAGTTCACAAAACCAAGGAGCAGTTTGGACAAGACGGACCAATCACTGTACACTGCAGGTTAGACGGCTCGGATTCATCTTTAAATTCAAACACAGACGCAATGGATGGAAGCGACTTCGGTGCTTTGTTGTTTTCAGATCAACCCTAAAATGAGCCACTCATTGAAAGTGCAGTGAGGTTTTAATTCCTGCACATAAAGTCATTAAGAACTTCAGACAGTAGATGTGATGAATCTGTGTGTGTGTGTGTGTTCCTCAGTGCCGGGGTGGGCAGGACCGGAGTCTTCATCACCCTCAGTATCGTGCTGGAGAGGATGAGGTACGAGGGCGTGGTCGACCTCTTCCAGACAGTGAAGACGCTTCGCACCCAGCGGCCTGCCATGGTGCAGACAGAGGTAAGGACGATGCTCAGACAAGGATGTTGTCGGAGTAAATCCCACAGTGACGGTTTTCAAAGTCAGCGTTGTATAATTTTAATGTGTAAACATGATGTTATCTAAGTTTCCTCTTTGTGTAAAGCTTCTCTAAAACAAAGACTTAGTGACAAATCCTTCTTTAATAGAGGTTTTAGAGGCGCATCAGAAATCACACAGCAAACTCATCTGGTGTCATCACAGAGGCTCAGCTGGGATTATTATTTTTTAAGAATTAAGGATTGATAGATATTTCATACAGCAAACAGGGAGAGCAGTTTATAAATCAGGGGAAAGAGTCATGATGTTCATTTCAAATGAGTTCATTGCTTCTTAAAGATATAATATGGAACTTATGTCAGATGTTTAGTTGACTTGTGTACTTACATCATTTAAAATGTTTCCAACGAAGTTCAAACCCGGAGAAATCCACAGCTTTATTCAAACGAACAGGACCTTTTATTTTAGTCGCCTTTTATTTGCATCTTATTCACTTTTCCCGTAGTTTTGTCCGTTTCCGCTACAACTTCCTCAGATGAAGGAAAAAACACACTTGATTTTATTTTACTGAAAAGAGATATTGTATGTTTAAGAAAATAGAATAGAAAAAAGGGAGATTTTCACACTGAACTTCAATTTATGCCTGAAGTTACAGAGTCACTTTATTATTTTGATTATTTTAAATGAAGATAAATGTGGGTTAACGTGTAACACCTCCCCCTCCTCTTCCTCCTCCTCCTCCTCCTCCTCCACAGGACCAGTACCAGTTGTGCTACAGGGCCGCGTTGGAGTACCTGGGGAGCTTTGACCACTATGCAACGTAACCACTCCCTCCGAGCAGCCTCCCTGGTCAAACCTCTCAGGAGTGTGCCAAGTGTCCCATCTCAGCCACCACCCTCTCACTTGACCCCGCCCCCCCAAACCCCTGAAAAAAAAAAAAAACGACCCCCCCGCAGCTACCGGAGGGGAGGAGAATGGCACGTGCTTGCAGACCCAGTGACGGGTTTCAACCAATCACAGAGATTCGCGTCCACGACTTAACCAACCACGTGAAATTTTTTGCTTTAAGAATAACGGAAACATCACAATGACTCGGACGAACAGGACAACTCTTGTACAGATGCGACAGAGCAGAGCGACGCCTCCGCCGCTCTGCTCTGTCGAAGCCAAACCTCCCTGATTGTCAAAGGCTACTGGTAGCACTAAGAGAGCATTCTCTCTGATTTTCTTTTTGTTAGTCGACTTGTCAATATTATTGATTCATTATGTCATTATCTTATTGTTTGGTATACTTCTTTTTTCTGTGGATGTTTTTAATAATCATTTTAACATCAGACATTTCTTCTGTCTTAAACGGCCCAGCCTCGGGCGTGCATTATTTTCATAATCGGTACTTTTTTTATTTTATCTTAGGGTACTTTAGCACAAGGGACATGTATTTTTAACACGTTCCTAGATACTAATACAGGAGGACCACTGTTCTCTGAGCTGCTGTCAGATTTATTTTATCATATCATCGTTTTATTCGTATCATGTGTCATATACGTTGTTTCATGGTCTTATTCAGTTCAACACATCAAAAAGAATTTGCCTTTTCACTTGCTGTTTCCGATTTTAAAAAAAATTATCAGAGAAAATTGACTTCCGAGCACAAACTTGATAAAGGTGTCCTTCTGTAAACCTGGTAGCTAGCTAAAAAAAAAAAAACAAGTGAATTGGCTAACGAGAGACTTAATAAGAGGTGTACAGAAATGGAAAGCACATGATTTCTATGTTTTTTCTTTTTGGTTGTTGTTGTTGTTGTTGTTTGTTTTTCATCAGAAGCCAATGGCATTGAGGCCTTCATGCTCCACGCCGGAGAACTTACCCGAGGAAAACAGACTTTTATACCCGAGGGGTAGTCGACAGAAAAAGAAAACTCCCTGATCTCTGAACATTAACGCTCTTCAAGTCCCTCCCTGTCTCCTCGCTGCCCATTAGCCTGGACAGTTCGCTGGAGTCGAACCAACACACACACACACATACACACACACACACACACACAAACACACACTGAACAGAGCGGGAGTGGTTCGTATGGGCTGAGAAGTGGAGCCACCAACGTTGGCACCTGTACAGAATCAACCATTCCTACCCGAGGGAAAGAGACTCAGCCCTTTGGACTGAATACCTGATATTATTTTATACAGAAATAGAACTATAAATATATATATATATATATAATTATGATTGATTATATATATGTACAATTACACAAAGATATATACACAGCTTCAAAAGTATATTGTTAAAAGGATTAATTCTGCTGATCTACCAACCCTAGAGACACTGCAGAGAGCCTGCTGTCCTAGAGTGTGTATTAATGGAAACACCATTGTATCTACTGTAAAACCATAGTAACTTTGACAGCTGGTCGTCCATCTGAATGAGCAACAACAGCACAACCCCCCCACCACCACCCCACCCATCGAAAAGACGGACGACTCCTCACTCAGCACAGGCCACCGCACCACTCAAGCACACGTCCTCTGCCGCAGGAGGAGGAGGAGGGAGCGTCTGATCCGAGAGGCCTAAACGTTGCGGTGGTGCAGGGGGTGGGCAGGGGAGGCGGCGGTGGGAGGAAGAGGGGGGGGGGACTTGAAAAACGCTGGCGAAAAACACAAATGTTCATTTTTACCTTGTGAATGCTTAGTGCTGTAGGGGTTCGATCTGTTGTACACACAGTCTGTTTTCTATTTGTTGATAAAGAACTGGAATTTAAAAAGAAACTGTTGATGAAAAAGAAAAAACATTGATGTTAATAAAGTTAAATAATTCGGTTTTTGTACAAATCCCGGCTTCTGACGTTTTTGTTTCTTCAAGGGTGTTTTTTTTTTTTTTTCATGTGTCATCACAACAATTACAGGTTTCCACTGGCAGTTTTTTTTCACCTCCACCAAGGACGTTCTGTTTTCACCCGTCTGCTCGTTTGTTGGCTTGTTTTTGAGAAACATTATTAAAACAACTGAACACATTTCAGTGGGACTTAGTGGAAGGATGTGGTTTGGGTCGGGGAAGAACCCATAAAACTTTTTGGTGCGAATCCAGGAATTTCTTTTCACTTTCTTCAACATTGCAAGATGGAGGCATTTTCTTGACGTTCTCCCCGATTTCGAAAGGAATACTTGAGGGAGCTAATGTTTATAAATGTGTGAACTCTGGTGCATTCTCCTCTGACGGATTTCTAATTTGTTCTTTGTTCTTAATTCTCACTTCATCTCCTCGAATGTCGCCCGTTGTTATCTGATGTATGAACACTGTAATTTAACTCCAATATAATGAGTCATTTGTTCAAAGGCTTTTCTGAAACTTCTTCCAACGATGCAACTGTATTAACCTAAAAACACAATATTTACTGAATCAAAGTCAAAGAGAAGACACATCAACCAGCCCTTCACTTTATATCTGCTCACAGTTACTTTCTAGTTTCTTATAAACAATTAAACTTCATTATAATAATATAAGAAATGCAGAATAGGTGTTTTCGGGGCTTTCATCTGTCTCGTCTCAGTCAGATGAGGAGGAAGCAGATGAAGTCGCTCAGTTCTCATCCACCAATTATTTCACCTGTGAGATTTTTTTTTTTTGGTTTTGTTTTCGTGGGTCTCTGTGGTTTGAAGTGGGCGTGTCTCCGTTGGTTCTCATAACTGTGGGCTGGTTACTAGCTCATGTTGCCATGGAGACCTCCGATCAAACCACAGCCACCCGATCCCGATCGATCACATCGGCTCAGGCTGTGTCCAGAATAACTCAGTAATCATATTCCAACTCACACACACAATATAATTATACTCCACTTATACTTAGACTATATTTCTATATATTTTTGAAATAGATTCTCACGGTGCTTTCTGCTCTTAATCCTCGTGCTCTGTCTCATTTTGTGGCTTCAGATATTAAACCATCACATCACTGCACCTGATGACTCACGGAGGAGGAATTCGCTCAATGAAGAAGTGATGTCACACACAACCAGACAACAGTACTGTGCTTATGTTGCCATGGAGACTACTACGAAATACTATCTACTGATTTTTGTCATTAAAAAAGAAGCATATATTTTTGTTTTGTTTTAAAGTCTTAAACTTTGACGATAGAAGAACCAAAGATGATTTAAACTCATTTGGACTTTTACTGTTTCTACAAACGTGTTTCTATAAGTGTGGATTTAAATTCCTGCTCCTGGTGAAGCTTCAGTCGCTCCAGTTCAACCTGTAGATTAAGATTCTCCTTCGTTCACTGATGAAAACATAGACACAAACAGATTTTCTTGTATCTCGTTGTTTTGTGTTATGATGATTATCCTGATACATCAGGGTTTGTTTCTTTCGTGCAGAGTCAAGTGATAATATTCTGTTTCTGGAAGATAATTGTTTGTTTGTGACAGTTGTTCCTCTTAACAGTTTTTAGTTTGTGATGTTTGATGTGGAGTTTATCATTTGAGCATCTTACAATCTCGTTTTGGATCCCAAGGAACCGACTAACATCATCATCATCATCATCATCAGCATCATCATCATCACTGTGGTTTCATGAACTGTTTCCAGAAGCATTTAGATTCTTCAGCTCTCGTCTCAGCTGCTGTTTCTTCACTTCACGAACAAACAACACTGCAGCTCAGTGTTATTTTAACCCCAGGAAACAATCCAACCGATGACTGAACCTGCAGAACATCATGAAGCTGAGTCATGTGTTCGTGTGGAGCTGATTCACAACATCCTCTGAGATGTTTGTGTTGGTGAAATTCCAACCGTGTGGAGAAATTCATCAGAGTGAAGTTCAAACACAGCTGATGTTACCACTGTTTGTCGAGTCCTCAAAGCTCCTGGAGGTGAAAGGCACACGGAGACGTTTCCCTCCTCTTCGACTGGAGGCCTGGAGCCACTTTCACTTTCACAGAGGATCGTCCAAACGTCTAGCGCTCACGGTGGTGTCGCATCCTGGGAAAGAACGTCCTCACGAGGAGCTCGGCCAACGTCTGTGTGCCGCGGTCAGGTCTGACAGCTCAGGGAGGGTTGGAAGGTTTGGAAGTGGAGCCTCTTGGACGTCAGTCTGTACCACGTCAGCAGGGAGGACTCATCAGAAGAAAAGAATGAGCCTGAATCTGAGGAAACACATGCTCGTCAAAGCTCAGAAGATTCAGACCAGGTGGAGCCTTCTTCTCCAGTTAAGACTCACGAGGAGGCTGGAGACACACGTCAGCTCCAAAACACTTTGAACAAGTCGAGAGAAGCTTCCAGCAGATCTTCTCCAGCTGCAGCGACCGGCCCTCTTTCTGCCACCAGAGGTTCAGTCGAATGAGCTGTTGCTCTGCAGACTGTGAGTCCTCCGGCCCTGTTGGTGATGAAGCACAAATTTACAGCCGGTGCGTCAAACAGCAGAGCACGTGCACACCTGTACGTGCACTACTCGATGCAAAGAGTGCTGCGTCAGCCCGCTTGGCCCTGACGGCAGCAAAAAGGTTTACAGGCCGGGAGGAGATTAAAAGAAGAAGAGATCAAACTCTCACCTTGACGGAGCACAGCCACCTGTGCTGCTGAGTAACTGTGGCAGATTAACGGAGCAACAACTTGTCGTAAACGCTGGTGGAGCAAATCAAATATTTGTTGCAGTGAACAATTAAATCTTTTTTAGCTTCTGGTGTCTCCATCAGTGAGAGGTTGTTTATTCTGGGTGATGTGCAGTTCTGAGTCACTGGCAGGTGGGGGCAGCATTTAGCTGCATTCACAAACGTCTCGTTCCAAATGCTCACATGTGGTTTACATGTCTCGCAGTATTTGTGTGTGAGGTAAACGCCATGCAGTGCGTGTAAGTGGAGCTGATAGAAAGTAGCTGAAGGTACAAATTGTAACACAAACTGAGGCGAGCTGGAGTTAAAGTCTCTCTGAATCAACACGAGTGGCCCCTGCCCTCCTCCCGGGGCCCCAGCTCGTCTGCTCACAAACTGCACAAATTGCATTGTATATTTGTTCTGTAGCCAGGATGGATTCTACCTTGTAACCACGTTCTCCCAGAGAGAGGTGTTTGCTTTCACCGCAGAGAAAGAAAGAAAAAAAAGAGACCCTCATTGTCCCAGTGCATCTTTTACACAAACGCATGTTTAGATTCGTTTTCTCAAAAAAGTAGTTTTCCACTCTCCGAGATGACATTTGGCCGGAGGATCCTCGTCCAATCACCGAACCACATCTTGCGCAAGACGAGCGTAGTAGCAACATTTGTGCCGTATTTCCAGCCGTTCTAATGACACCTCCACTGGAATGGTGTGTTTATAGTGTAACTGATTGAGGGCTTCCTTAAAATCTTGCCCAAACCTAAACAAAATGTGTTTCTTCACTCATCCACGCCCAGTGGAAAAGATTCAATTCGATGTGTATGGGATTCTATCTCGTTCAAAATGGAAACATACTTTGTTGGGTTATTTTCCTCTTGTATATGCCGACTGTCTCCCTGACTAATGTAAGCGTAGCTGCCGAGTGAGACTGCGTTGTATACGGATCAGATGTATCACTCTCTTGTCTGTGACTTGATTTAGCAATTAACAGCTGTTGGGGTTTTATTACAGTCGAGGCCGGCCTATGAAAACTGTACACATCTGTGAGCAATATGTATAGAGTCGAAATGTTCCTGCCCCGTGTCAGGAAATGTTTCTGCGCTGAAAGTTCCTGCTCAAGGCCAAGAAAGCACAATATCTCCTGCTAACTGGAAGTCATTATGTATTTACTCAGCCTCCTCTGGCCAATAATTGAGGTACATGTCAAACACGTTAGTTCTAATAATTCCAATTTTTCTCTCGGATAGATTTTTTTGTGGAGGAAGTGCACCTGCCGAACATCGAGAGCAAAAGTCTCCTCTGGATTTCTTCGGGTTCAAGCGAAGAGGAGAGTTTGTGTCGGCTTTACTTCACGGTTTACACCTAATCTCGACTTTAGGTCTCTGAGATAACAAACGAAATCTGTCAACACACTTTTCTGGTCTGAGGTAATGTTGGAGAAAAAGTTCCTTCGCTTTT